GCTCTGTGCTTTATCGCGTAATGCACTCAGAAATCGAGTAGCTGCTGCAGTAAGCATGACAATCTTGACGGGTCGATCATTGTAGTGGCTATGAATACCTATGTTTTAGGAACATCATGTGGGGGCAGGTCACCTCCTTGTTTGGTGGTGGTGGTGGGGTAGAGGTAGATATATTGCCACTGTGGACTTATGGACACATACGAGTCACTGGATGGTTTTGGGTGCGTTACCATGATCGCCATGAACTTTATTTAAAAATTAAAATTATTAACCAAATAATAGCCCATTGGGTCAAAGGTATATTATGCAAAGGGTTACCTGAAAAGCAAACACTGTATCACGAAAAAAATACATAACCCTGAAAATAAGATGATAAAAATATGATTTAAGCAAAACAATAAACATTAACTCGAGAATATAATAACGATTTTTTTAATGCAGCACTGCAATGACTTGCTCGTGTCAGTGGCAGAAGAGCCTCCAGTAGTGGAAGCCCCAGAGCCCCTCTAGATAGGCAGACGTCTTAGTAGAGATGGGAAACCCCACACTCTATCCCACCACATGTTCCCTGTTGATCGGCTAACTGTAGTGTGTCCATTTATTCTTCTGGTTAGACAGAGGCCTGGGGATGTAAGAAACGTGTCCAGTGTTTCGACTGAAGCACAGGCGCGAGAGTCAACCGGCTACCTCTGAATTACAAGTCTAGTGCGCTAAATACTAAACCACGGCAACATTCCCATACATTCGTAAAATGCACTTTATTTATCCAGAAAAGTCACGCTGATAATTGAGTGTTTTTTTCACGAGGGTCCTGCATCGATATGTTTGTTCAATTTCATAATTAATGAGTGGCGTCACGTTGGAGGTCACTGGCGTACCCAGATAATACCCAAGCATACGAGGAGGTAACTCTGAATGCTTCTCACAGACAGATTTGTAATGCATGGCTTTACTGGCATCTCCTGGTCACCTCACAGTCCAATACATAATGATATGGGCAAGAACAAAGCTACAAAAAAACAAAACCTTACAGCTGCAAGAATAACGTGCTGCCCATACTTAAGTGCAGTACTAAATCATGGAATTTCAATAAGTCAACCGAGCATAAACAAAATAGCTCTGTCAACAAATGTGCCAAAAACAATCCTACAACTTCAATGATTGGATTTTACGACAACTGCAGATATCCTCTTCAGAGCTTATCTCATTCCAGCATCGGGATTATTGGAGAGTGAATGTGCTCCGCATTCCCAACCAAGACTACCAAAACAGGCCTTTTATTGCCAACCACAAAACACGAGTTAAAAATGCAGCCAGGGGGTTCGCGATGCCATTCATAACGGCACATGTTACAAATCTCAACATAACCATCAACAAGTTTGCAGAACAAGCAAGGGGCCAACGCTAATTGGCGTTGTCGGTCTTCTGACTTATGCAACCGCTTATACGGCATTACAATAAACTAACCAACTATACCAGGGAAGTGCAACCAAGGCTTCATCTCAGCCAAGAGTGTGTCCGGACAAACGACCTGGAAAATAGTTCCAGGTCGTTTATCATATCCCTCATCACGGTTGTGGCTACTCGTCACATATCAACCCCAGTCGACCAGAGATACTGGAAATATGCAATTTAAAGATTTCGTGACTGCATTGATTCATCTTCTTGATTCTTTAAAGTCACGTAGAAGGGAAGTAATAAAATAATAAAAATAAAACATAATAAAATAATTCTCACGACGTTTCGGCCACAACGCAAGCAGCCGTCCTCAGGTGAAGACCAGGTCTACGTGACTTTACCGAAAGAACCAAGAAGATGGAAATATGCAGTTAAAAGACGAGGCCCTGTGTTTAACATACATGCCGTGGCGTGGTTTTCATGGCCCGCGAGCCACCGGGTGTACACAGACACATGGCGGCGAACAGGCGACCACGACAATGTGACGGCTCACGGAGATGGCCAGGAGATTCCGAATGTGTCCCGCCATCGAGAAAGGTTAAACAACCCCCTGAACTCGACATTTCACACACAATAGAAAGAGGAAAGTTCAATGCCGTGGGTGCAGACGGACAGGCGTGGCAAGGACACTGCAGCTCAATGGGGCACCGAGTGTGCGTGGTGCCAGGCACACCCCATGCTACAACGCACCGTTTCACACGGTGCATGGGAGGGAAATCTCGTGGAGACATCCGGGCTGGCTGGAGATGAGCAGATATCGTGTGGAGTTGAGCGGGCAGACTGTGGTGGTGGATTGAAAGATATGCCAAGATAAAGAGACCACCCCTGAAGACCCCTCCATAAAGCAAAACACAGTTGCGTGTGGCGTCTGAGGAAGGGCTGAACAACTTGGAGACAAGCGATTGCTCAGTCTCACCCATCGAACAGATGGCTGCCTCGCGGGAATGTTTTGGGCTGGATTGGTGACATCGTGTTTATTGTGCCGCTACCGAGGCGGCACTTGGAAGTCGATTGTTCTAATCCCCCTCAGTCACCACTGTGGGCCACGTGCTCCATGGCTACTGCTTGGTGGCTGAGCGGCAGCGCAATTTCCGCGTGTTGCAGAAGTCTTTGCAGTTCAAGGCCAGCAGCTCCGGGTGTTGCAAAATTGCTGCATCACAGCGGATCTCAACGATCTCGTGACATTAGTAAAAATAAGACCAGGCCATTATGTGCCAACGTTACGGTCCAAACTGTCTCAAATTACCCACAAACGTGTGTTTTTTTTTTAATCGGGAAAATGACATTGCTACATCATCCCCTTCCAGCACCAATACCAATTTCAAAATAGTTATACGTACATCTTGGAATAGCTGCCACTGGGTTCCCTTGGATTGCCTGCCACAGGGCATTGGAAGGTTTGAGATGAGACGCGATCTGATGGAAGTCCTTTTGAGCTGTGGAGGCATTTAAGTGCCTTATAAATGCACATTTACATCCTTGAAGACCCTGCGATATCATTCACAATAGAAGCCAATGTTGTCAATTTAATGTAAAAATTTGCAAATTATCCACAAGTAAAGAAAACACTCCCAGGTATCTGTGGCATATGACTTCATGACAATGGCCTCTTAATAATAAATAGATGGCCAATGATCTCTGGCTCCTATTTCTTGAAACGTTTGAATTGCTTTTTCAAATCCTACATATACTTGCAGCTAATGGTTATTAATGCATGAATAATGGTTGGGTAGATTTATTTATACTGCTCTCTCAAGCAGTAATGACTCTTTTTTTTACATTCCAGAACGCCATTTGTAAGTTTCGGCATCGGCTCCCACAGACCTTTTGTACAACGAGGACACCTGGTGCTGTTGCTTCGTGAATGTCTAATACGCATTTGGTGACGATTAAGAAACAAATGTTTGAGAAAAAGAATAAAGTTTGAGCCGACATCAGAGAAAACAAATCAGATCACTGCACAAAAAATGTGCACATTAAATAGGTGTCAACAAAATTCATGCTCAACGTCCTTTGATCAGCACGGCTTAAAAATCCCATCCCGCTTTTCAAATACGAACTGGGGGTGCTTCAAACATGACCAGAATATCAAAGGCAAGATGCATGAAGTTTGCAGCCATTTCAAGTAGATGAGCTGTGATTAAAGCGAAACAGTCCTTGCGAATGGACATCATTAAGAGCCTGGCCATGTTCTGTGGTGGAAGCGTCGGATTGAAAAATGTTAACTTTTGATGTTGTTTTGGGAAGGGGTGGGGGGGGGGAGAGACATTGTCGGCATCAAATTAGCTTATTAAACGTTTGTATGCTCTGTAAAGACGTGATTATCTGAAAGCTAGTGCTACAACCCACACAAATGTCACCCTATACTGTAAATGATTAAAGATTTCATGTGCACAACATTGTTTTTTTATTTTGAACAATAGGATATTGTACAACAAATGTGTAATGACAATATATATATTTTTTACTGCCTAATAATACCTTCATGCGATTTTTACATATTATTCAGAGCAAGGGTAGTAATAATGCTGCCCAGGGCATTAGTTTACACACTGAACTTGGGGAATTTCATGAAGGGTGGCGAGAGAGGGGCAAACATCAACTCTGAAAAGCAACGACCCTAACCGCGCTACTACACTTGCAGGGGGATTTCAATCACCAGCAAAGCCACTGGCCACATAACAGCCCCTTGGCGATGGAGGCAATTGAAACAAAACGCTCAACACATTTTTATTAATACTGTCTTCATAAAGGAAAATACACATGCTACGCTGCTGCTTCAGTCAATGGTCATACTTTATAGCAAAGGTAAATAGAGGGTAGAAAAATCGACTGACATTGTTAACACAGTTAAAACTTCCGTAACCTGGAATCCATTCTAATCTGCAAGCTTGGATTTCTGGGCTTCAAATATATATATATATGGTCAATGTATGTGGTAGTTGACGTTATTCAATTAAATCACAAGCTGAAACAGGCAATAAGCTGCCAAAAAACATATCTTCACGACAAAAAAACCTCCAATCAATGAGAATATCGTGCAAGGCTGGCAATTCCACAGTTCCTCCAATCAGTTTAACAAAAATATTCTTGCTATATTGAAACCATGAACCTGTTTCGCACAATACACTCATGTGACCTGTCATAGAATTGGCTGCTACTGATCTGGCTAAGGAGGTGTCAAAGTAGTTTTGCGTTTGTGTCCTTGTTAAAGCCTCTTTATCCAGTTTAACACATGGGCTTTCACAATCAATATCCATAATACAGGTTTTTTTGGGTTAAATCGCGTAAATATATAAATTTATCGTTAAACCCACCACCACCCGACACAGCCAATTAGTAAGGTTTGTCACGTAAACAGAACATGCCAATTCATTACTAGTACAGCACACCGGTGTGTTGGAGAGCAAAGCCACAACATTTACAATCTGAGTATGACGTTTCTCCATTCATTTAAACTAGCTTCATCAGGCAACAGCCAGATTTGTGGAGAAATTCTCCTGTTTCGTTTATTAAATAGAGGGAAAGATGTGATGACGTACCTTTGAATTTCTGTATCTTTTGAGGAACACCAGTGAAGATAACAGCTCCATCCTCTTAATTCGGAGTTTCTCCAATTTTCTGGTTAGAAGAAAAGTATCCTCCCCACAAAGGTTAGTTAGTATAACACGTCGGCTTTCGCGACCAATATCATCCATAATACAGGTCTTTTTTGGTCCTACTTCCACAAGTAGTGACTAGTTTCATATCTGCATTTCCCATAAATATGCTAAATTACTCTTGATATGCAAATTCCTTTGTCAAGGCGCCCCCTCCCCCTCCAACCCAGCTTAAATATACGCTGCCAAGCGTGGTGGTGCCCATTCAGACGCTGTCTTTCCGACAGATCTGTTCTTCACCTGAGGACGGCTGCTTGCATTGTGGCTGAAACGTCGTGAGAATTATTTTATTATGTTTTATTTTTATTATTTTATTATTTCCCTTCTACGTGACTTTATTGAAAGAACCAAGAAGATGGTTAGATCATGTAAATATATAAATAAATATCCACCAAACAATTGTTACTGCGCTACAAAGGACAAAGTTGGAATCCTGCTATCACATTTGCGGGCACCCAAGTTCTTATCACAATGTACTTGATAGATCTTAATCGTAAAGCAGTCAGGGCGATTGATGATCCAGCAGTCATACACTCACTCTGGTGGTCAGAAAGGTGATGTGGAGGGGAAGATCTCCACCGCAGTGGTTTCTGTTCCTGTAAATTTCACTCGTTGATTCGTCCGCGCACGTTGAGGACTTGGTCCACCGGGCTGTTTCGTCTTGTCCACACTGTTCAACCACCACACTGCAGGTCACAACACTTCTCTTTCCATGGCTAAATAGTGCTGTTTGTTGCTGACTGCTTGGCACTTTGGGCCTTTGTTCAGCAACAGTCGTAAAAAATAAGTGCGACACTTTATAAAAACTGAGAAATATTGAAGAGGTTGACAAAAAGACAATGTTATGGCAAAGGTGTCCCTTATGAAACAAATTTGTATTAAGTCATGGACAACTGTTTATAACCTTGTTTGTTCATATATATCGTCACTAAAAAAGCAGTGAAAAGCTTTAAATTATAATAACCTGCCGCAGTTATTCGTCGACATGTCGATGCAGATGTGATGTTAGGATTCAGGTCTACTGACAAATATTTAAGCGCCATTAACGCTATGGATACCTGGTGCTTTTGGTTTTGCGTGCTTAAGGGGTGCATGGAGGTGAAGAGCTGCATCTGGCCACCTGCACCGAGTGTTGTGGCTCTCATGATTCTGCAGCCTGACTTGGGCCAATGTCTCAAAGCCCTTTACAGATCGTTCTATTGAGGGGCTTTTCATGCAGGGCATCCCATGGCACTTTATGAACTCAATAAGCCGTTGGTCGCTCAATGCAGCACAAAAATGTGCTGCTTCAAATACAGTTATACATTTTATTTCATAGATTCCATTCTAACATAAATTCTGATATGACTTGGAATAGATCTTCTTCTTCTTGGTTCTTTCGGTAAAGTCACGTAGAAGGGAAGTAATAAAATAATAAAAATAAAACATAATAAAATTATTCTCACGACGTTTCGGCCACAACGCAAGCAGCCGTCCTCAGGTGAAAACCAGGTCCGTCGAGAATTTTAAAGGCACAGAAGATAGCGAGTAAAAGGCCCTCACCCCTCTTGATTACAGACGACTTTTAGGAACAACCAAAAGGTGAGAACAGTTCTCACAAACATGAAGGCCAAAGGTCAACAATGCCAGGAGTCAATGATAGGCTGCAAACAAAGAACACTTTTATACGAAGGTGCAATGCCTCCCTAACGAGTCGGGCAATTAGGGCAACAACAGTTGGTGCTGGAAGCCACACGCACACAGAGCACAATGAGGGTAGGTTTACCACTCGTGTCATTATTCCTGTGTAGGTTTTCACCGCTGTGCTGTGTTAGCGGTGTGTTGTTTGGCCGATAACATTCAGCGCGAGCCAAAACACCCATCGGAGACCCATTGTCATTACTGTTGTTAATGTGCGTGCCTTAAGATTTTGGTGATATTTTATGCTACTGTAAGAACTCGGGGCTCAGTGAGATATTTTACAGTGACTCGAACAAAGTCAGAGATGGTCAAAGAGCTGTACCAGTAATGGACTCAATGTCAGACGGGAACACTTGTTGGAGGGACCTATATAGGAGGAGGAAGTGCGATATCTTCAAATGTGAATGATGGTTGCTGAAGGGGGTTTTACAACAGCAGTTCAGCCCACGTAGTGGTTAACGTGCAATTAAAACAGAGAACACCAGCACCACGTTGCAGTGTCAACACACAAAAATACCGATTTCACATTGCAATACCTGGGGCGGAGAAGGGGGGGGGGTGGAGGCGTCGCAAGACGTCTTTTTTTTTTGATTGGCAAGACTATCCGACAAGGTTGAGAGCCAGTGCTCTGGAAGGAAGAATGCTGGGGGGGAAAGGCCACGAGGCACAAAAACAGGGAGACACTGCTTGACGACTTGAAGGGGCTCGTCATTGGTAATGAAACGGAGAGCGCATGGAGGGAACTTGAACTGTGAACCTAGCTCTAGGCAGTAGAACTCAATGGAGTTTGAGTGTCACAGTGATAGCTTTGGCACAGTGGAAGCAGTTGGGGAGCAAATGGTTTGTGTTTGCTCTCGTCCTACGTTCAACGTGGTTGTTTGGCTCTGGAAGAGCGACTCGAATGGTTGCGAGTGCCTTTGTGTCCGGAATGTTTTGCGAGATACCGCGAGCGCAAATTCAAGCAGCCTGTTTGGCATCACTTTAATATGGAAGTACGCAAGGCAGTGGGCGCAAGTGTTTTGTTGTTTACTGGTGACAAGACAAAGATTCCCCCGTGTCGCCTTAACGGACTGCTGGGGCAAGTGCTGTTAGCGAGCACCTATGAAGGCCGGAACAATACACGAGGGGGTGGGTGGCTAGCGCCACACCTGACCGCCTTTGTGTCTCTAGTGGCGATGTTTATTACGCACCGCACTAGGTACTCATTTGATGCTGAGTCGACCTAGGGGAGGCCCAGGACCGGTTCAGAAAATCGCCACTGGTGTTGAGCGGGAATCAAACTGGGATCCCCGGGTTCGTAGCGCAGCACGCTAACCACTACGCTACCGTGCTAACCACTGCACACACACACTGCTGTGCGTTATTGGCTCTGGCTGTGAGCCTCTTCACCCAAATAAACATTTCTACTTTTTAGGCAAAGCGATGCGCGTGACGTCCGTTGGGGCCACGCAGGAACAATGGAGGACGACTCTCCCTCACACAGTCCCCTGCTTCTCTCCATCCAGGCACAGAGCGGATCTGGACCGTCGTCTTCATCACCGTCCAGTCGGCCGTCCAAGTGACTCGTGGGTTCGTCCGATCTGTCGTGACCCTGGCCTCGCCGTGCAAGGGGCCTTAATACAAGGCGGTGGAACGTGGACACTCTGGTTGGCACAACGAGCTTTCGTCGCCTACGCATTTCTGATGATGATGTGATGTGTGAGTGAAGCTGCTCACAGTTAAATGTCGTTTGCTCGGTAGGGTTGTAACCACAATCCATCTAATCATCCATCACTATTCTTATTGCTCGTGATATATGCATCAAAGTGCAAGTGTTAAAATTAATGTTTTTGCTATTTATGTTGACAGAGTGAATAATGTCCGTACATACATGGATGTAAAAATATGAAACCATACAAATTAGATGGTAAAAGGAAGACGGAAAATATTATTCATTATTACATCGAATCGCAGCCCTGAATCCTGCCAATTCACCGAATTATTGAGGAGTGGATTGTTCCACCAGTGGATGTCAAGCCAAATAAACGTAACTTATTATTCTCATTAATTTAACTACAATATTGGCAAATGCAGTGAAAAAACTAATAAAGAAAACTGTAACGTTTTTACACGCATTTAAACCATGTGCATTGCTTTTTTTTTTACAAATTTCAAGTAACTTTCAAGACACATGAAAACCTTTAAAAACATTCTGGCAATGCATACTTATGAGGGTAGCAAAAAGATCCCCAGCTTGAATTACAACATGACTAAAGGTGGGAACACGCTCAAACATCAGGTAGATCATCTGAGATAGCAGATTTAAGGTACGGAGTGTTGGTAAACAAAGAGGTATAGATTTCGATTCATAATTGAGATTTCAATCAGGCATCGAGCACTACATTAGGGAAAGCCTCCTGTGATTGTCCTTTGGAGATACTTGTTACTGTGATGAGAATGCCTCCAATCTTACTTAGTCCCATTGAGATATCCAACGCCTGCTTGAGCATGGAGATACAGTGGGAAGGTAGTGGGGAGGGGGGATATTTTCTGGAGCTCAGCCCCAGACAGCTCTGGCTAAAATTAAGCTCTGCTGGCATATGATGATAAATAATTTGTACAACGAACTTAAAATCTGAATGAAAAAAGTAAAGCATTTGGAAATTGTCAACCATATTATTATATATCAGTCACCACAGTGAAATCATAGATCATCTGTATCATTTTGGCATGATCCTTATGCTTGCGAAAAGATTTAAGGCAAAAGGCGTGCAATTCTGGCTTCCCAGTCACCTGTGCCAAACGAGTACACGCTGCGCCTCTGGTACAATCTCACGTGCGGCACTGAGTCACGCGCATTGCATGCCCTGTACGAGTAAACGAAGTGTACCCGACATACAACATATTTGCAATACCTGGAGCCTGCTTATTTCAGGACGAATATAGTTAAATAAACGTCGCATCAGCGAACACACTTATGATGTATTGAAGCAAAACCTTACAAGATTATTGGCAATCTTTTTAGTTAATTAAGTAGAGTAAACGCTTTTTGACTGAACTGATGTTAAAATGTGTACGAGAAGGCGAAGCATTGTGACAGCCAGAAGATCATGCAATGGGGAAAATCATTGTATTTCTGCCCTCATATATTAAAAAAAGCATTACAAATAAAAAAAAATCTGATGCAGACGTGCTAATCTTCCTTACAAGTGGAGCTTCCTTTTTTAATTTGGTGACGTGAATTTTTGCCGGCAACTCTTTATACAACCAAATATTATTCTACCGTGCCGCAGAAAGAAAAAAACCCAAACGTAAAACTCGCTGAGCCTTGAGCTCTGCCGGTTG